CATGTTGCTGCTGATTTGTTTCATGTTGCTGCTGATTTGTTTCATGTTGCTGCTGATCTGTTTCATGATGCTGCTGATCTGTTTCATGATGCTGCTGATCTGTTTCATGTTGCTGCTGATCTGTTTCATGTTGATGTGTTCATTTGTGCTCCTCTGCTCACACAGACTCATGTTCGTGCTGCTGTTCGGCTTTTTTTTTTTTATGCTGTTAGTGCTTAGTGTATATTAGTTAACATTTTTCTTAGTTCATATCTTAGATCTTATCACTGTTTTTCTTTTACATTTGAATACTTTGTTGGATGTAACTGGGACCCGGTGTACACATTCCACCACATGTACCACATGTGATGTGAATGACAAATAAAGAATCTTGAATCTTAACGATCTGCACATTTTCCAAAACTGGATTTCTAACTGGTCCCCGTTATTTTGAGGATTCTCCGCAGGATTCAGAGACCTGATGTCATCCTCGATGCTCGATGGGATCCTGAATGCAGCAAAACCGAGGCACTGAGCATTTACACACTTCACAAAGACAAGAACCAGGCTCTGGTGGACTTTGTTCTGAGGAAGAGACAGGAAGCAAAGCCCTCAGCCAATCAGAGCCGTTCATGCTGGAGGAGCTGAAGATGATCATACCAAGAACAAGGTTTGTAGTTTTGGAGTCAAATTGTGATGTCAGAATGATGTCATCATATTTTTTAATACAAACCGGATTCCACAAAAGTTGGGACACTAAACAAGCTGTGAATAAAAACTGAATGCAATGATGTGGAGATGGCAAATGTCAATATTTTATTCGTAATATAACATAGATGACAGATCACAAGTTTAATCTGAGTAAATGTAACATTTTAAAGGAAAAATATGTTGATTCAAAATTTCACAGTGTCAACAAATCCCAAAAAAGTTGGGACAAGTAGCAATAAGTGGCTGGAAAAAGGAAATTGAGCATATAACGAACAGCTGGAAGACCAATTAACACTAATTAGGTCAACTGACAACATGATTGGTATAAAAAGAGCTTCTCAGAGTGTCAGTGTCTCTCAGAAGCCAAGATGGTAAGAGGATCACCAATTCCACCATTGTTGCACAGAAAGATAGTGCAGCAATACCAGAATGGTGTTACCCTGCGTAAAATAGCAAAGACTTTTAAGTTATCATCATCAACCGTGCATAACATCATCAAAAGATTCAGAGAATCTGGAACAATCGCTGTGCGTAAGGGTCAAGGCCGTAAAACTCTACTGGATGCTCGTGATCTTCGGGCCCTTAAACGTCACTGCACCTCAAACAGGAATGCCACTGTCAAGGAAATAACAGAATGGGCTCAGGAATACTTCCAGAAAGCATTGTCAGTGAACACAATCCACCATGCCATCTGTCGTTGCCAGCTGAAACTCTACAGTGCAAAGAGGAAGCCATTTCTAAGCAAGCTCCACAAGCTCAGACGTTTGCACTGAGCCAGGGGTCATTTAAAATGGAGTGTGGCAAAATGGAAGACTGTTCTGTGGTCAGATGAGTCACGATTTGAAGTTCTTTATGGAACACTGGGACGCCATGTCATCCGGACCAGAGAGGACAAGGATAGCCCAAGTTGTTATCAATGCTCCGTTCAGAAGCCTGCATCACTGATGGTATGGGGTTGCATGAGCGCTTGTGGCATGGGCAGCTTGCATGTCTGGAAAGGCACCATTAATGCAGAGAACTATGTTCAGGTTCTAGAACAACATGTGCTCCCATCTAGACGTCATCTCTTTCAGGGAAGACCCTGCATTTTTCAACACCATAATGCCAGACCACATTCTGCAGCAGTCACAACATCATGGCTACGTAGGAGAAGGATCCAGGTACTGAAATGTCCAGCCTGCAGTCCAGATCTTTCACCTATAGAGAACATTTGGCGCATCATGAAGAGGAAGGTGCCACAAAGAAGGCCCAAGATGATTGAACAGTTAGAGGCCTGTATTAGACATGAATGGGAGAGCATTCCTATTTTTAAACTGGAGAAACTGGTCTCCTCTGTCCCCAGACGTCTGTTGAGTGTTGGAAGAAGAAGGGGGGATGCCACACAGTGGGAAAAATGGACTTGTCCCAACTTTTTTGTGATTTGTTGACGCCATGAAATTTGGAAAAAACAGATTTTTCCCTTAAAATGATACATTCTCTCAGTTTAAACTTTTGATCTGTGATTTGTGTTCTATTCTGAATAAAATATTAGATGTTGGCACCTCCACATCATTGCATTCAGTTTTTATTCACAATTTGTTTAGTGTCACAACTTTTTTGGAATCCGGTTTGTACTTTAAACTTTTTGATGAACTACATCCATTTATTTAAAAATAGCATAATTAATCAAAGTTTTAATAGCATCTCTGCGTCATGCTTTAAACACGAGCTCATAATAAAGGAAATGATGACTCTGTTCCCTCGAGTTGCCTTTTTTGCTGAACAACCAAAAGAAACTTGCTCCTGTTGCGTTCACTGTCATGTTTGTCAGAGTGCTGCCTTCAGGAACTCCTGTTTCTGTAGCCACAGAGCTTAAAGATGTTTCTCCTCCTTCATCTTGATGGCAGGTGCCATTTTAACAACTATGAATGAGAAACTGAAGATCAGAGCTTCAAGTACAACAAATCATAAAAATCAACCAAAGAATCAAACACAGATTTTATTTAGACAAAATGTCACTCAGAGTTCTTCACTAAATTAACCAACGATATAAAATATGTAAAATAAAATTCTGACAACCTAAAGATTTATTTTAATTTTGCATATTTAAATATTTAGCACAATATGAAAATACACTTGACATGTTCAGTCTGATATTCATCAAGGTTCCTGACTGGTGTTCCTCAGGGATCATGTCTAGTGTTCCTAAGTGTTTATGTCTGGTGTCCTTCAGTGTCTCACCTGATGCGTTTTGGGCTTGAAATTGGCGTTCCTCAGGTTTGTGTCTGATGTTCTTCAGGGTTTGTTCCTGGTGATCTTTGGGGTATGTGTTTGGTGTTCCTCAGGGTGTGTTTTTGTACACAGTTCTTCCAAACATGTTACCATCTGACTTAAATAAAATTTGTTTTTAAAATTAATCCACAAAAGTTCATTAAGTGTCCATCAATTCTGGGGCTGTAATCAGTATGTTTATTAGTTTTGTTCATTAATACTGATATTCTTGAATTAAAAAAATAAATCTAGTTTTAAATACGAAAATTAGGATACAATATTACAGTGAGATAGTGGTAATAAAATGTAAGTTCCTCCCTGTTTGTAAGATACAGAGTGATCAGAATTACTGCATACCCTACTGCAGCAAATCTGAACTATCTGTAAATGTATATTTAAAAATAAATGAAAACAAAGAACCAGTAATACTGGTGTCTGTTTCTAACGTTATATTTCTCTCCTCTACTAAATAAATCCCTGTGTGAGGTCATGTGACTACTGCAAGGACGTCACCTTCTCTGATTGGCCAATTTGCTGCGGAGAGGCGGGACTTTGGACAGGACTTTGTGCGGTGGATTTGTCATGGTTGTCACACTCTTCTTGTTGGGAGAGAGGGCTGGTGGAGCACTGACGGGGGCTGGTGGTGCAGTGACAGTAGGTAAGACTGTGGGCAGGTTGTCTTTTGTTGTCATGGTAACCGGAGGGGGACTGTTGTTTACCATGCCAACAGGTTTTGCCAGAGTAGTCTGGATCTCTGCTCTCCGAGCCAAAGCCACCCTCAACTTCTCCCTCATTTGCTCGATTTGTTCCTGCAGCTCCTGCAGCTCCCCTGGCTTGGGTGGGGCCGGGGTGGGAGGGGCTAATGATACAGGGGCAGTGGTTATTGCTGCAGTGGTAGGGGCTACATAAACAGTAGGTGGGGTTTTAGACACAGGGGGAGGGGCTTTAGACACAGTGAGGGGAGCTTCAGACACAGGATGAGGGGCTTTAGACACAGGGGGAGGGGCTTTAGACACAGGGGGAGGGGCTTTAGACATAGTGGGTGGGGCTTTAGACACAGGGGGAGGGGCGCTGGGTCGAGCAGAGGAAGAGGTGGTGCGTGAAAGCACCAGGCTGGCAAAGGAAGCAGCTGGTCCTCCGTTCTCATACAAGCTGTTGATCTCCCCCACTCTTGGCTTGGCTGACTCACTGCTGTTGCTCTTAGCCCCGGCCCCCTTAGTATCAGAAGATGCAAGGCGTGCGAGCAGGCGGCGAGTGTTGAGGGTTTCCAGGCTGAACTGAACACGTCTGAAGTCTCGAGCCTCTATGGTGGCAGCAGGTGCATCTTTGCTGCTGATGTTCCCCTGGGCTGAGGCTCCAGACGTCGGGGCCTTTGGGGGACCCAGTGGACCAGGAGGTCCTGGAGAAGTTTGGGTTTTCTGCAGGTTGCAGCTGAACAGTGAAACAGAAGTTTAGTTAGTGAGTTTTTATTCATGTTTATAAAGTGACTTCAAACTGACTCACCTTTTCTCTTTTTCAGCTCGCTGCCTCTTTACATCTTCATACGTCATGTTCAGAGCTCGATGAATTTTCTGTCAGACAGAAACATTTTTACTTCAGCTGCAGGTTTGACTTGTAAACACAGAGCTGGCAGGAGTTTCACCTGTGAGGTGTGCAACCAATATTTCAGGTTCTGTCGGCGGCGGATGTGTGGCAGGACGAGTCGATAAAAACCATGTTCACCTGCGAGGGTCAGCAAAGCCCCGCCCACTCCAATGCACAACAACAGAAAGAGTCCTGAGAAGTGACTGATGCCCATCTGAAGAGTCTGAAAGAGACCCAGTAAAAAAATGCTGTGTGTATCTCCGGTGCCTGTAGAGGGCATGTTGTGTTCAGGTGTTTCTGGTTCCTCTGAGACCGTTCAGAGTCTCACTGGACCGGATCTCAGATTAACATTACTGTTTGGGTCAGATTTAAACCATAACCTGGTTTGGGTTAGTGTCAGGACTAACCCTAACCTGGTCATGGTTTGGGTCAGGACTAAGTTGTGGTTAAATCAGCGTGATAAGACTGACCTCTGTGACAGCAAACACTCGGTTCCCACACGGAACCACTTTGTACCACTTGTCGTGCAGCAGGTCCATGTACCCGTCTGATTTGTATCTGCTGATGAACTCTGAGATGTTGGAGCTCAGAGGGGAGCCCTGAGGAAGGCCGATACCGTAACCTGTAGACAAGACAAGAAACAGGAAGTCCACTGCATCACACGACCATTTAAGGAGTTCAGGCTCGCTGCAGACCTGTACAGATCAACAAACTAACATCCATCCATCCATCCATCCATTTTCTTTACCCGCTTATTCCATTTTGGGTCACGGGGTCGCTGGTGCCCATGTCCAGCAATCACTGTGCGAGGGGCGGGGGACACCCTGGACGGGTCGCAAGTCCATCACAGGGACACATAGAGACAAACGAGACAAACAACCATTCACTCTCTCTCTCTCACCTAGGGACAATTTAGAGTTACCAATCAGCCTAACATGCATGTTTTTGGTCTGTGGGAGGAAACTGGAGCACCCGGAGAAAACCCACGCATGCACGGAGAGAACATGCAAACTCCACCCAGAAAGGCCCCTGGACCGGGGTTTGAACCAGGGACCTGCTCGCTGAGAGGCAGCAGCTCTACCAGTTGTGCCACCGTGCTGCCAACAAACTAACAACAAATGGAAAATAAAAATCAAGTTTCTGGATAACGTATGCTAACTGTGCAGAATCTATCATTTGTATTTATTTATTTATAATTTTATAACTCCAGTTATTTTTTCAAACGAGCCTGAATTTATTGTGGGTTTTCTCTGATCCACACAGGGTCAAATTTATTCATACAGCTCAAACATATCCATAACCCCACATTAATATTTGATGAAATGTCCTTTAATCGGTGTCTCCTGGACCTCAGCTGGTTTGTCTCCAACAAAATTCTGGCAGAATTCTGGCTGATATTTGTCCGTACTTCTTTCAGGTAAATCAGCTCGTGTCAGACCCAGCTTTTAATCAGAATCCACGAGGTTTCAATTGGTCTGAAGTCCTGGCTTTGAGAAGGCAGCCCCAGAGGCCTGACTGGTCCAGTCAGAAACCAGTTTTGATGTGTGCTTGTCCTGTTGGACCCAACTGTGTCAAGGTTTCAACTGTCCAGCAGGTGAGGTGAAGTCCAAGAATCTGGAAATAGTCCTTCTTAATGTATACCACAGGATGATGATACCACTACCGTGCTTCACAGTTGGAACAGTGTTCTCTAAGATCTAAACGCCTCACCTTGTCTCCTCCCAACATCTTTCTCATTGTTGTGTCCAAACACCTTAATTTTTGTCTCATCTGACCATCAAAACTTTCTCCAGAAGATTCCAAAAAAGTTCAATCTGGTCCTTTTGGATTTTTCTACCTGGATGATTGAGCATGAATCAGGATATTTCTCCTGAAGACATTTGTCTTGTCATGCAGACAGCTGCAGGTTTCAGTCCAGCTTGAAGGTCTTCATGGTCCTCAGTCTGTGGTGATGTAAAACTGGTGGACAGGGAAAATGTGTTCCAGCAGGTTCCAGTTCATGGCAGATTTGAGCCTTGGTGGTTCCTGGGTTGTTCCTGAACCTACACAGAGGATCTGTGTTTTGAACCTGTATGCTCCACACTGGTTTATCATCATATTTATTATCTGCATCGTTTTTATGTCTATATTCTGATTTACCTCATTTTGTATTTTGCTTTGTGTGTTGTCTGTTGTTCTGTCTGTACAGCACTTTGGTTGGCCTTGTCGCTGTTTTAAGTGCTCTATAAATAAAAAGGTATGGTATGGTAAATGAGGAGGGCAGAAGAGTGTTGGTAAATCCAATGTGCTGTCAAACAAGGCCTTTTGATGCTGGCACAAAGAAATTGAAGCTGCAGTCAGTCATGATCACCAACAGGAAGATAACAGGCGTTGGCATTGTCAAAATGAAAGACCCTCTAGATAAGGACTGCTTATTTTAAAAACTCGTTGAAGTTATATTATGTCAAATCACTCTACTGAATAAAAATAACTGTACAAATGAATATTAAAAGAATTGAAATTTTTTTGACGTTCATGTTAAGTGGAAAGACACTTCCAAAAATCTGATTGCATTACAATTTAGGATATTAAGACACGTGTTAAAACCTTATAGTGACCACGTTGCTTCTGGGATTGGACTGTCCAGGAAATCTACCGAACAAAACCAAAACGAACGCTCACCTTCGATGGCAAATGGTTTCCCAACAGTTGCCAGCTTACAGTCAGCGTCAATAGAAACTTCATAATCCAGGAGGGCTTTGTCCATGATGAAGGCATCGAGCTGAGGAGGATCTGTCCTTCAACACACAGCAAACAGGTAACTACAGCAACTAAAGTCCTTCAATACACAGCAAACAGGTAACTACAGCAACTAAAGTCCTTCAA